AGTCTGTTAGAGGCACCAGAGGCCTGAGGTCAAGCTCAGGTGTTGTTTTATAGGATACATCCATTTGATTTGCTTAAATAAAAGTAATAGTGATACCGGCACAAAATCAGTCCTGAGATGTTATTTATTGAATGGAGCCCAGGATGCAAACATGCCAGACCATCACTGTATGTGTGTACACATGTGTGTATTGAGTGTACACGCATGTGTGTGCACACATGCATGTAGAAAATAAAGGTCAAGCTCAGGTGTTTTACATGAGGTGTCTATTTTGTTTTCTGAGACAGAGGCTGTCTCTGTCACTGGATGTTGGCTTGGGAATATGTTGTAGCTCGTCAGCCAGTGACCCCCCAAGTATTGGCCTGCCTCTGCCTGCCAGCTGCTGGGATCACAAGCATGCATCATCATGTCTGGCTTCTGGGGTTCAAACTTGAGTCTTGCTGCTTGTACTGCAAATCATTTAACAACTGAGCTATGTCTCCAGCACTGATGCTATCTATGTGTTTTAAGGAAGGGAGACCCCCAAGACCTTTCTGTGGAATATTTTTCTGCTCTTTGTAGAAGAATGTGTATTAATGCCTCAGTTTCTGAACAAAGAGAAATCAAATTTACTGTAACTCTTTCTTATGAGAGAAGTCTCACTACTTTTGGTTGGGATTCTCTTGTGGCACAAGGGGCCCCATATCACAGTGAGGGCAGGAAGGAGTTTGAGGGGTCATTTGCCCTCCCTGATTTTACAGAGGAGATCCAGGCAACTTGTCACTGTCCATCACTGGGGGAGAGCAGAGTGGGTGTCAGCTTTCTGACATTCAACTTTGTGGCCTTTCCAGTCTCAGCTGCCCCGTTCTTCATTTGGTTTGGCCGTTGGGCTTTTTAGCATTTGCTGAGTTTATCCATTTTGATGTGTAGAAAGTTGCCCAGTCTTTACTATGTGGTCAGAGCCAGCCAGAGTACTGTGCTGTAGAGGCACAGGGTGGTAGTGAATGTGAACCAGGGGCGCTGTCATCTCCACCGTGCTCGTGACTGAGGATGAAGTGTTTGGTTTGCAGTTGAGCAGCTCACACAGGTGTGTTTGGCCTTTTTAGCACAGAAGACTCGATAACCGAAGACGACAAGAGGAGGTATGTGTGCTGCCACGACTTGTTTCACGTGAGTGGTTTTGGCCTTAGTGCACGGATGTACCATATCAGGAACAGAACACAGGTTCCACCAGTGGGGGTGTGGGCAGCGATGTGCAGCCCAGCCTAGACTTGGAATCTCCGCTTCGGCCCTGCAAGCTTGTGCCCTGCTCTGTGTGTGGCTCTGTGCCATCCACTCCTGTCCTTGAGGTGACTTTCCCTCTTCACCTCTCCACTCCTTTCTCTCACTCTTCCTCAGGGTCACTCTGCTCTGCTCCACACTGCACTCCTGGGCTCTCTCCCGTGTGACACGTCTTTCCCTATGAGAAGATGATTTCTGAATATCCTACATTGCCTAACCCCTCAGGGATCTCTGAGTTTGTCATAAGTGGTGTCTGACACCCAGCACACATCACTGCCTTAGCTCATTTCTCATCACAAGCAAAATATTTAAACGTTTTACTGATCTAATACAGCTAGTTTCCCAAAGCTTTCTTCTAACATAGAAAACCAAGAATCTTTGAACAGATCTGGGTTGTCTTCATGATCATATAATTATTTGAGGTGGTCCTTGCTCTGTTTTCTGATGCTTCTCTCTCTCTCTCTGGCACCTTTTAGTTTAATTTGATTTTTCTTTTCTTAAAGAAACTATGGAGGCGTGTATGTTGGCCTGCCCTCTGAAGCTATCAACATGGCGTCCAGCCAAGCAAAGACGGTACAAAAAAGTAAGCAAGGGTTTTGTGGGGTTATTTCCTTAAAGCGAAAGTATGAGTGTGTGTGCCTGTGTGTGTGAGAATCGCTGTGCCTGAGTATGTGTGTGGATATATGCATGGGTATGTCTTTCTATTTGTGAGTGTGGGTATGTGTTTGTGTATATGTGCGGGTGGATGTTTGCGTGTGCATGTATGGGTGTGTCTGTGTGTAAATGTATAGGTGTAGGTGTTTGTGTGTGTGTATGGGTGTGGGTGTTTTGTGTATGAGTGTGTCTGTGCGTGTAAGTGTATGTATAGATGTAGGTGTTTGTGTGTGTGTATGGGTATTGGTGTTTGTGTATGGGTGTGTCTGTATGTGTGTGTAGGTGTATGTATGTGTATGGGTGTTTGCATATGTATGTGTATGCATTTACATTTCTGGGTGCTTGTGTGTGTACGTGTGTGTGCATGTATGGATGCGGGTGTTTGTGAGTGTGCATGCATACACTTATGAGTGTACAGTTTCACGTGTATGTGAAGGTCAGAAGAGAGGCTCTGGTGACCCTTGGGAGCTATCTTCCCTTTTGGAGACAGGCTCTTTCACTGACTTGGAGCCAGTCAAGTCCTTAAATCTGGCTGGCCAGCAAGCCCTGGAGATCTGGCTGCCTTTGCCTGCTCAGCACTGGGTTTCCAGGAGCACGCTCCCGTAAATGTGGGTTTGGGGGCTCGAGCTCAGGCCGCCATGCTTACCCAGCAGGCACTTTGCCTTGCCTACTGAGCTATCTCCCTGGTCTCAAGGACGAATGCAATTTATAATTTTCACTTACCTGTCTTAGCCACATGCTCCGAAACAGCAGTGAGCCATGTATGAACTATGTGTTCTCTGTCACCGTTTCTCAAAAGTGCCACCCACATGTTAAAGCAACCTCCACAAAAGCCTAGTTTGTTTGGGGGTTGTGAATAGGGGTTTTATTTATGTACATGCACCACGGATACTCTTGGTTTCTTGTTAATTTCAGTGCTGATGAGTGTGAAATGGAAGGCCAGCATTTAAGCGAGCTGATGGAGTGTTTGCAGACATGGGCTGTATTTCCGTGACGGGAAGATGATGGACTTGGCAGCAGTGCGGTGGCTACAGGAAAGAACTGCTCACAAAGATCCGTCACGTTATTTTTATATTTTTATACACACTGTCATTCTTCATTGTCATTACTGCTTGTTTTATCATTCTTCACATTTTAATTTATCCAGTGTTTGCATGTGGAGATCAGAGGACAGTCTGCTGTTGTTGGTTCTCAACCTGAGGGTTCTAGGATGAAGCTCAGGCAGCGGGGACTTTTCCCTTGGACTCATCTCGTCTGCCCTCCTTTATGATTTCTATGAGCGAGTGTGCATGCATGCGAGTGTGTGTGTGCATGTGTGTGTGCATGGGTGTGTTTGTGTATGTGTGTGTATGTGTGTATTTATGTTTGTGGGCAGGGGTGAATGTATCTTGGCATGCATGGATGCATGGGTGCCTGTATGTGTGTGTGTGTGTGTATGCCCATGCACATGGGTGCATGAGTGTGTATGTATGTATGTATGTATGTGAGTGCATGGGTGCATGAGTGTATGTGGGTGCATGTGCGTGTCCACGTGTGTGTGCACATGTGTACACTTGTGTGTGTGTATGTATATGAGACCATTTGTAACTTGTAGATTTTTGGAAAATATAAGGAGCTTTAAAACATGTGAACACTGACTGTTGCTCTCTCTAAGGTTAGAGGAAGATAACACAATGGCTGGAAACTCAAGAGGTACTTTGTGTTTTCCTGAATTATCAGTGTATGTACTTTACTGAAAAGTAAAGTAGTGTGTGTATTTTACTGAATTACCTCGTGTGCTTGCCCTCAAGGATGAAGAACTGCTTATAGTTCCTGTGTGGGTCTTAAGAGGTCTGGAGAGCTCTGGTCCACTGTCTCCCTGCTGCCCTGGTTTCTCTTCACTCTCTCACAAATGCAGTGTGATTGATTTACCAAGAGCGAGCTGCGTGCCCGCCTAAAACACCAGGGCAGGGTTTAGGGCCTGAATGACAGATGGAGACCTCAGCCAGGGAGACTCGGCTAGGAAACACATGAGGATCAACACACAGTGTGTAGACACTGTTCAGGAGGAGATATCTCCCATGGCACATTCTGTCTGGTACTCCACGGTGTGTCGGTCTTGGCAAACACGCCTAGCTTCTTTTGAAGCCTCCCCGTTCAGGAGAGCTGTTTCCCAAGAGAGCCTGTACTCTGTTCACAGTTAGCCTTAGTCTTGAATTCAGGCTCTTCCACAGGCTGGTTGAGTGGGTTACTTTTCCCTTGTGGCCTCAGTTTTATAATCTATAGAATGGGTCTTTTGCTTAGACATAAGGGTTGTTGTTAAGATTAGATGAAATGAATAGTAAGTAGCTCTTGCTTTCATGGTTGCCTGTGTCTTCTTTGTCTTCTTCCTTCCTATTCCCTTTTCTCTCCCTCCTCTTCTTCCCTAACCCCTTCTTTATATACTTCCCCTCCCCCAGAATCCAGTCTCCAGCAGACCAGAAACAGGAGTTCTTTGCTATTGAGGCCACCTCTTGTCTAGCCAGGGTCAATCCTGGAGTTCGTAGAGACTGAGAAGTTTCCAGGTGGAGATTGAGTAGTTTTCCTGATGGAGGTCTGGGACACATAAGGCCTACTTCTTAAGGGAAGCCACAACAGTCTTGGACTCGTTCTCTGGAGAGTGGCTCCTCTGAGAGGTAGCATGGAGATGCAGACTGGAATCCACTCTTCACCTCCCAACTCTTGAAAATTTGCCAAGGATTTTTTTAAGTATAGTATTTATTTGAATAGAGTGCCTCCCTTCCCCCCCCCCCAGAATTCCAGCCTTGCTGTCATTTTGTCCCTTGTAGAAGTCCATATGAAACACGCCTCCTGTGTAAGCCAAGCTGGTGGGATGCCAGCCTGTGCTACCGTTCCTCTCTCCCCCCTGTAATGATGACGTGTTTCAAAAGTATAAGAACTGATCAAGTGTCCTGTAGACTCATGCTGGGAACTGATCCCTCTGCTGGGCACAGACCCCAGGTGAGCTATGCTGGGCCTCAACTTTCTCACCTGCCTTTGTGTGGGGGTCAGAAGCTCCCTAGTAACCGTTTAGCAGTTACTGCTGACATAGCCCACAAGGCTTTAAGTGGCTCGCTCGTTGCTCCCAGATCCAAGTGCGTTCTTTGACTGTCATCCCCTTCTGTCTCTTTCTCTGATGGTGTCTCTAAGTAGCCAGTTAGTCCTGATTTCTGTCTCATCTTTGAATTGCCTGAAAAGTTTTCCTGAGTGGCTTGGCTTTTCATCTTCTGGAGTGGCTGCCTGTCCATTGTGCCACTGTCTGTGACACTAGGAGCCCCATGATTCTCCAGGCCCATCCTTGGGCAGAGTATTGATGCAAGGACTGTCCCGAGAAACTTCGATATGAAGGGCAAGCGACACTATTTTTGGCCAACACCATGGCCTTTCTGAATGGGATTCACTTCGTGAGCTCAGTTGGCTACATTTTGAGCCAAATTGAAGAACAGCTCGATATTAGCATCACTTACAAGATGATACAAGCGTGTAGTATCTTAGACACCTGACTCCAGAGCGGAACCACGGCTGACAGGCATCCTCTACCCAGGAGGGAAGTGATGGATGACATAGCCCTGCTTTCCACTCAGCCAGCAAGCAGCCGTTTATGAAATGGCTCTCAGACACCAGTGTGGGTCAGCCCCATCAGCATCCCCCAGGGTATCTCCACAGGCTTTGGATGCATCGGGCCCCTCTGCAGTATATTGCCGGAAGGGATGGAGTTATCCTTGGATGATCTATAGTATGAATTTGGTGCTGACATGTACATAGACAGGTCTGGGCATTGTTATTCTGTATTTTAATTTTTAATTGTATTTTATAAGTCTCTCGGCATCCAGTTTGATCTCTTTATATAAATATTACCTATGTTCAGAATTATACTGCCCAGTACTAAATCTTATTTATCTTTTTATTTATGTATGAGTGTTCTGTGTGCATGCCAGAAGAGGGCATCAGATCCCATTACAGATGGTTGTGGGCCACCATGTGGTTGTGGGGAATTGAACACAGGACCTCTGGAAGAGCAGCCAGTGTTCTTAACCGTTGAACCATCTCTCAAGTCTCCCAGTACTAAATCTTAAGTAACTATTGACTGGCTATTGAACACTTAACTTAATAACAAATCAATTAAATAATTTGCAGGCTGAGGACATGTACTTTTGTCTAAGTTGTGATTTTTGAATGTGCTAATTCTTCCCCCCCCCCCTTTTCTTATTTTTCCTTCATAGCTTGCTCATGAATTTGGAGAAGGAACTTGACTCCCGGGACACTGTACGAACACAGATAACTTCAAACAAATTCCGAAAGGTTTTCTCTGCTGTGTCACCTCGTCCAAATCCTAGCTGTGTAGTTATGGGTCCATACTGGATGCCGTGGTCACAGAAGGGACTTTGTGGAACCCACCCATGAGAGACCGTACAGGCTGTTGCTACCTGGCCTGGGCCAGCCAGCTCCACGCAGTGATGTTTCCCTTCTGGCCATTCAGCACAGATCCCCAAGCACATGTCTGTTCACTGATAATCTTTTGATAGTTTTTATATGACACAATCCTTATTGTATTTATAACATGGTTGTAGGGCCACATAAAGGAATTACCTGAAGTAATATATTGCCTCTTTGTCTTCAATGTTTTTATGTCATTATATTTTAGCTGTAAAGTTGGTAAATGGATTCTTACAACTATCTCCCTTTTTTACTAGTTGCTTTAAAATTTTTATTTGAATGCCGGAGAATTCCCTTTGTTAAGAGCATTTCAGTATTTGAAAACGAACTCGTTAAATGTGCATGCTGTACACACATGTGGATTAAATTCTTTTCTTTAGTCAAAGACTTATATGATTATAAATATTCTCCAGCCACCCATTTGCCTGTTCCCCCCTGGTGTAGCCTGAGCCACATCATGTTAGCTCTGCACTGTCTCTCAGGACACGACTGAGGACAGTTAATGTTTAGTGGAGTATCTGGAAAATTCTTAATTTGCCAACAACGTGTGTATGTACCCATGATGGCAGTGTAAGCAACTTAGTTTACCAGTGTATGGCAACAATTAAATATTTTTATCCCTCTTTACCTGGATTTTTAAATTATTTTCAAAAGAACATTTTTAAAGAAGCCACATGTGGTATTATCATATGTAAATAGAGTGTATCAACATTTAAATGGAACACAGATTGTCTTAGTTACGGTTCTATTAATGTGAGGAGACACCATGATCAAAGCAACTCTTATAGGGGCAAACATTTAATTGGGGCTGGCTTACAGGTTCAGAAGTTCAATCCATGATCATGGTGGGAAGCATGTCAGGATGCAGGTGGACATGGTACTGAAGGAGCTGAGAGTTCTACATCTTGATCTGAAGCCAGCAGGAGACTATACAGCAGAAGACTGTATACCATCCTGTATATAGCTTGGACGTAGGTGTAAGCTACGGCAGCATAGCTAACTGAGTTCCTTGGATGGGCAGAGGGCTGAGGGCGAGAGAAAGAAAGACAAGGAGTCATCTGGTAAAGAACCCAATGCTATATTTTCAACTGTGTAGATCCCTTTTATACTCCCCACAAAACAGGAACACAAACAGGAACAGGAATAAAAACAGGAACAAGGATCAAAACAGGAACAAGGAGACACACTTGGCAGCCTATCACCTAAGTTTGGATTTCTCCTTGAGCAGTCTTCTCAGGAAATGCATAGAGATGGAGGATCGGGCATAACAGCACAGGTGCAGAGGATGGTGACTCACACGTAGGAGACCTCAAAGTCAGCCCCCACAGTGACACACTTCCTCCAGTAAGGCCATATGTGCTCCAACAAGACCATGCCTCCGAATAGTGCTACTCCTGATGGGCCAAGCATTCAAACACAGAATTCTACAGGGACCATATGTATTCCAACCACCACACTGGTTAAATAGATTACTCTGACAAGTAGAATTTTTTTCCAAAAAAGAAAGGCACTGTCTTCCATATTTGCTCACTGTAGAGCCATCAAATTGTTATAAATAAATAAATAAATTCAA